AATTGCTTCATAATGGCCTGAGTTATCCAATTGTTTGCCTCTATTATAAAATTTCCAAATTGGCTTTAATGGACGACTACCAATAATTTTTTCATCAGTATATTTAATTTTTTTAGATTTTGACATATTAAAAAATAGTAAAAAAATTTAAAAATAAGAAGTTATTAAATAGAATTTTGTAATATAGCTATTAAGATTTTAGATTTTTAAAAGACTTTATTTTTAAGATAAGTGAAAACTTATTTTTATATAGTCAGAAATCAGGCATTTTTATACATGTTTTGCTTTTTTAATCTCTAATTAATTGTATCTTTTTCTGTAAGACTATCAGTATTACATTATGAATCTTTGACAGGATCATCCCTTGTTATGCTGATCGATTATGATCGCATCACGATAACTAAGATGATCCCAAAACCGATAATAGAGTGAATATGATATAATTATAAACAATAAATAAATAATAAATATAATAATGATATCTTTTGTCTTGGTATAACCATCATGCTCTCACATGGGATCATTCCTCATTACGCTGATCGATCATGATCGCATCATGGTAACAAGAGTGATCTCATATGTTAACACAATATTGGAATGATAATAGAGAGAATAAACAAACGAATAAACAAATAAATAAAGAAAAAACAAATATACAGTAGTAATGAACTTCTGTCTCAGTATAACTATCTCATTACGCTGATCGATTGATCGCGTATAACCATCACGCTCTTATGTGGGATCATTCCTCATTACGCTGATCAATTGATCGCATATGACTATCATGCTCTCATGCGGGATCATACCTCGTTACGCTGATCACATCATGATAACAAGGGTAATCCCATATGTTAACACAATGAAATAGAGAGAATAAACAAATAAGTTATTGATGTTTTGGCAGTTTTGGGGTTTCGGTTGAAGTTTCGGGTTTCGGTCAAGGTTTCGGGTGAGGTTTCGGGTTTCGGGTGAGGTTTCGGGTTTCGGTTGAGGTTTCGAGTTTCGGATGAGGTTTCGGAAGCTATAATCCGAAACCCGAAACTTTCGGAATCGCCAAAAAAAGTTTCGGTGCCATCTTTGGTGTCAACCCTGCCTTCAACCCAATAATAGTTATTAGTTTTATATTTCAAGAAAAAATCAAAAAACCTATAGAATATAAATCAGCTCAATACATAATATGCCTGTATAGTTCGAGTAAATTAACCAATTTCTTCACAAAGTGATATTTTTTAAAATTAAAATCATTAATAGTAAAAATTGGCAATCAAATATATTAAATGCTGACTTAAACACGGACTAGCTTTCCATGGACACGATAATTTGTATTCTCGATCATTTCTAGCAGTAAAAGCGAAAGTTACAGATATTGTTGGATGTTATAATAATTACGAAAATCTCGGTTTGCAATGCTCCGAGATAGTGTGTATCTTGATAAAAAGTTTATGGTATGAACAAACGTGTATTTAATAATAGTATTGTATTTAAAGGAAATGACTGAGAAAAATGTCCGAGAAAAAATAGATTTGTGAGATAATATCGACTGCAAGAACGACAAATTTGTGTTTGCGTAATACAACATGCAATAATACGCCACTTAAAGTTTATTATCAGAGTTGTGAAATGCGCATAATCATGCGCATGCTTTTTTATATACTTGTAATACCGGCGAAGCAATATAATGCTGGTAGCGAAATTAATAGATTCTGAAATATTCCAAAACTCCTAACGCTAAGAAATTCTGAAAAATTCCCATGCGCACATCTACAAATTAGGATATAATAACGAATATCGAATGATAACGATAATTTAAATTTCCAGAATTTCCAAATTTGTCAACCATCGACCTGATTCTCATACGACTCAATGTTTAAGCCATATCGGCGGATTTACAGAATTGGACCTTTTTGTAAACAATCGTATTTTGGGGACCATTTTTAGGGTCCAATTTCAATTCCGTAAATCCATCGATATGCTATTTTATTTTATTATTATCTTATTCTGTTAACATAGGAGAAAAGCTATTCACGATCTCTAAATTATTCGTTAGATGAATATAACCTACCTACCTACGTATGTGCATATTGCATAGTAACCCAAGACCATTTATTGGCTGTACCCCATTATTCTGCCTAGATTTGGTATGTCTGAAAGCTGTGATAGTTACGCTGATGATATCACATAACTATTTTGGCCGCCAGCCAAGTCACAGTAAATATTAAAGGAATTATGAAAAAAAGTCATTGTTACTTCTTATAGATATGTGACTTTTCAATTTTTCAGATCAAACTGCTTAAAATGCTGATTAATAATTTGTAGAGAACATAGCTCCACAGAGTCACCTATCAGTTTTAAAAAAATACCTGCATGAAAAGTTTAACCGATTTGAAAATATTTTAGAAACTTAAAGGTCATCAACTTGTCATAAAATCAAATGTTTGAAAATTTTGACCAGTGACATTGTTCATTGTAATAAAACTCTGCACGAATTATCGGTCAGCTATAAAATGTTGCTTCTATAAAGGTTGCGCGCCTGGTTATATACTTGATATTTGGTCATGTGACCACGGCATGAACTTCTATTCTATCGAAAATTCTAATAAACCTTTTACAGCATTATTAACGCAATAAAAATGAATCATTATCATTCGAAATGTTGATGTTATTGTAATTAATATCCCGATTTTATATTTTTATTAAAAAACAGATAAATAGACGAACGAATAGAGGGAAAAAACGAAAAAAAATGGTGTTACAAATAAAAATCTGCCACGAACGATAAACGGACTACGCTGAAAAATAAAACGAGAGACTTTTTTTCGAACAAAAAACGAAAAAAATAAAAAATAATGCTACGAATATAGTTCTGCCACCAAATATGATAATAAAGCAGAACTTTTTTTTCGAAAGAAAGTTAAAATTCGCTAATTAAAAAAAAAACGAACGAACTCGAATAAAGCCAAATTCGCAAATGAAACAAACCGATTGATTTTCATAAATTTATGTTATTATAATTGCCAATATTCGATTAAACTCTTATATTTATTTATGCCATTATAATTGCCAATATTCGATTAAAATCGTTTATTTTTTACCGTTTAATAACAGCATTCGTTATAATTAATATATTCTTCAAATTCTAATATTTCGTTAACGCGATTCGAAGAGATACTTTTCTCATAAGACGTTTGTTCTTCGGAAGATGTTTGCTTACTTTCCTTTTTTTGAGGTTTATAGACATAATCTGGATACATCAATTTATGTCTCTTATCGGCGATTTTCGCTAAAATGGTAAACAATCGCTTAACTTGAGGTGGCAATGTTTTCCAATGTTGACTTGCCTCATTTGAAATTTCATTTATACAAATTGATCTTGTTCGAGCAGGATCTTGCTTTTTCGCGTATGCAATGTATTCCTTTCGGAATAAAATGAACCTATTTTGTGGTCGTGGTTGATTTTTTGCGTTCTTTTTTTGTTCACGCGGAGCAAGTATCTCTTCGAGAGATAACGTAAGTTTATGTTTATATGGGAGTTTTTTTAATAATTTATTTGCTAAGGCCAATAAAGTATCAAGCTCCATTTGACGAGAGCTTGGGGATGACAAAGGATTTTCATGAATTATTGCTAATTCTTCGTTATTTTTTGGAAACATTTTAAATACGCACTCCGTTTTTCTTGGGCTTAGAAAAATGAAGTTCTTATATAGAAATAACTGAGTAGTTTGAAAAATCCTATAATTGGACAATAAAATAATTAATTGCTGTATTAGTGCCGGAATTGCGTCTTCGGTGAACCAAACATCTCGAAGGAGTTAAAAGAAAATTACTTGCAACTCTTAATAATTAATAATAATATTGGATCTAACTATTCGGTAATCAAATTTTCATTATCTATTATGCACTTTAACAATTGATTCTATAATCTAAGCGTGCATTTCTGATTCTTATTTTAAACATTTTTGTCTAACATCTTGTTAGAAGATACTGTACGTTACATAATTGAAGCCTTCTTTACCAATTTTTTGACATTACATATATTGTTTTATATTTTTAATCTCTTTTATCTCTTGTAAATGATTTCTTCATTCGTTTTTTTCTTTGTTTAGCGTTCTTACAAAATTTTAATACGATGCTATTCTATAAAATTTTTAATGTAGCACGAATTTGCTGATGTCATGCATAAAAATCAAAATCAATTTCATGTATAAACGAGTCAATTCTAAAATAATTTTAGTTCATAAAAGAATATTCGTCATCGGATGAGAAAAAGTACTCTCCGACTAAAGTCCGTGAGCTATTTGTGCTTGAATGGAAATTTTAATATACAAATCCATTTTTTTGAGCTGCATTAAACGCATTTAAGTTAGTTGATCGTCAATCCTTGTTAGCAATTCCGTACTTTGGAAAGACTTGTAATTAAAATACCCTAAAATAACGCAGTAATTATGATGCCATTTTGCTCTTGCCTAGAGGAATATTAATAATAGTAAAGGTTTTTTACAATATAACTTTATTCCATTAATCGACATCTTTTAATTCTTCTCTGAATTTGTGGAATTGACCAATAACGATAACAATAAATTCGGCCCTTTGATCCGGTTCAATGGCTCGGAAAAATCGGGCTTTGTGGAATTTTGTCCATTGTGGCTCATAAAAAACGTGCGCCACCTTTATTTAAAGTATCTGCATGTGTAATCTTATTAATTTCCACATTAGCCTTTATATATATAATGTGTTTTTTAAACTAGCATTTTTTGCTGATAAATAATTTAGTAATTAAAATGTAATTTATTCCGGGCTCCGAAAGCGTGGAATCGGTTACTATAGGATAGGACATCTTTTTCTGATTAATAAATTTTACAATTGCATTTATACATGTTTTGAGAACTTTTTAAGAATGTAATATTTCACCGTCTCTGTCTTCACTGAAACGCCAACAGTTATTATACAAAATAATTCAGAAGGATCCGCAATCTGGGAATGCATTACTTAAAGGTGAATTTCTGCATACATTATGTTTATGATTATTTCGTTGTTAAATAAAGTTATTTGGTGAAAAAAGCAAATTTCTTTAAAAATATATCGTATAAAGGCATGTACATCAACGTAACTTTGATTCAAAAAGAAATATCGATCTATTTATACAAACAATCAGATAAGGACGATAGTTATCTGTAAAGTGCAGATACCGCAGAAATTAGACTTTGTCACGAATAATTACAGAGTTGAGAGTTTAGGGCTAAAATTTAGTCAAAAATCCAATCAAGTTGCATGTTTTTAATCGATTTTGTTGATAAATTTTGGAAAATAGAATAAAAACATGAGCATGGACGTCTGGCAGTTCGGATATTAGTAATTAAAATAAGAATAGAATTTTTAAAGTATGCTTATGCAGAGTTTTGCGCAGAAATTAAAATTTATCACCTCAGAATCACTAAATTTCTCGCTACCCCAACAAACCTATAAAAATATCACGTGCTTAGGTCTTAAATGTACCAGGAATGGCATATGAAATACATTGTACATGGTTCATAGGTATCTCAAATGTTTGCCTCTGATTGTTATTCAAATCTCATGACTTCAAGCCAACCTAGTATCGCCCATAAAAAAATGTAGCTGATGTCATAATTGATGCATG